ACATGGAAGGCAATAATAAACGCGGCAAAGACTCATGAACAGTTGTACCGCCATTGATGATGATGATGATACCCGTCCACATAAGGGAGATGTCACCTAGTGACTTGCTCACGTTCCTAGAAATGGTCGAATGGACAATAAGATAAGGACGAGAGCTCCCTGAGAGGATTCACAATGGCACAATTGTGGCCTAAGTGCTGTGGGACTTAACTCACCCTCTCTATTCTACAGATAACCTTTCTTTAACCAAAAATTTTTATGTAAAATTTTTTTTATAAAAGGTATATTAATATAAAAACCTTATTGGGATTCATAACAAAACATTTCAGGAATAACTATTCCATCATCAGTACTATCCTGAAATAGGTATAAGATGAAGTGGGGTAAATGTGATCTACTTTTTTATTAGTTCAACTTTCATTTAGTCCTATTTAAACTATGATAACACTGTAAAGAAACGTTTCAAAAATTTATCAAAAAAATCATATACTTTTTGAACGGTTTTGTGTTCATTGTGTGGAATAAAATTTAATAATCGTTAGTATTATTAATGTTGCATGATGTTTTTTAAAATCATATCAATATGTAACATTTACCCCAGGGGCCGGGGTAAATGTGAAGAAAGTTTACATTTTTGTAGTAAATATTATATTTGATAGTCTGGGGTTATTGTATAAAAATGTAATTCAAACTCTCTACTTGTGTTTTTTTAGAATTTATTTTGTTGAAAAAATACAAAAGAATTTAAACTTTTCGAAAACAATGTCAGAACAAAGGAAACAAAAATATAATAAAATTAAACAAACACAAGCTTTCTTTCACTTAATGTTGAATGTTAAAGCCTTTAAAGGTAACTGGAAATTCGTACATTCCACGTCCGTCGACGATAGGATCTGGTAGTACTTTTATAATATCCTGTTGTAGTACAGTATCAATGTCAGGATTTATTGTCCATAAAAATTTGTTTCCTTGAGGTCGTGGAAATTTAACTATCCACTCATCATTCATATTTTTTGATACAACTCCCACATAATGCTTGTTTATCTTTTTTGGGCAATATTTTACCAATACCCAACATCCGACATATACATTTACACTTTTTGTTGAATTTAAATTCTCTTTGTGTTCCTCGTCATCATTTGAAGCTATTTCTACCTCCGGCTCTGATTCCAAAAGTGTATCCAGAAACTCGTCGGTGTTATTAGAATCAATGAATATTGGGGACATTAAGTCATCGTTTTTGCTGCTACTAAATGATAATGACTCTCGTTTATTTCTTGTTCAGGGCTTTGCCTTAGTTATCTTATGAATTTTAGTAACATTTTCTTTTTGTTGAGATTTCTGTTTTAAAACATCAATAGATTGTTGTGATGTCAATACTTCACATCCTTCTTATTTTTGGTTGGTGCGTTTGGAAGTTGTTTTACTGTTGATAATAATAAATCTTCAAATGTTACTTTCTTATTTTCAGTTACACTTGTACATGGAATTGATTCAAGTTCATCGACTCTGGCAGAGATATTTTTTACTTTGTTGGAGAAGTGGTAGTTTCGATTAGAGCATCAGGCGCAGGTTCTTTGTTTTGATAAAATACTTCTTGAGTTACTTTAGTTGGTACCAATACTTCATTATTCTTTTCGTGTGTAGATAATCTGGAATGTTTATCATCTCCCACTTATTAAGCAAGCAGGGTGGAAATGATGTTTTACGGATAACGTGACGATTAAAAGGAATAATTCCGTCTTTTTTAAAGCCGTTGATAATTACTTCGGAGTTCACCTATTTCCAAGTTGTACACATAAATTGGGAAAATATTTGTTTTGGTAATTTTTGGCCTACATGCTGCCGCTGCCAGGCAACGTTTTTCATCCTATTTAACTGTAAAGGATTTAAAAACAGTCAGGTCTCGTGGCTCTAAAAGGTGGCTGGAAGGGGGTGGCAGTTTTAGAATTATAATATGTTCTCGCATAGCGGCTTCTAACATCTCGATAATCATATAAGTGGAATATCCATAATAAATAATTAATATTGGTCTTTCAGGTGGAAGTGATGGAATTATAGTGTTTATGAAGTAATTTTTGAAAACGGCTTCTTCCATTCAACCTTTTTAATTGAGATTCTCTCAGGTTTGTTGTGAAGACCATATTCGTCCATTAATGATTTTAATAAATCATAAAATTGGTATATTATAAAAAGATCAAGAGTCTTTTTTCGAAAGTATTCCACGTTTTGTGGAACTTTAATACTTAATCTATGCCTCTGTTTAAACCCCAAAATCCAATCTTCGCCTGGAACTCCATCCATGAAATTAGTTTCAATATGGTTAGTCTTTACAAAGTTTCCTACAATTTCTGATACTTCTTTCCTTGATAGGCCGTTTCCCCATTCCTCCATCGTAGTTAGACCATTGGCTAATCTAACTTGGCGTCAGTAGTAGAAATTGACGTTGGACGTCCATTAGTTGCATTTACTTTTCCCGTTTACCTTTTACACGGAAATGTTGGGTCACATATGGTATTTTGCATAATTTTGCGGCCTTATAAATTGATGTTCGATCTGCTAAAACGTCAGACATTGCAGCGTTGAGATCAGCTGCCAAATATTTTTCTTCATTTGAAGTTTTTCTTTTGTAGCAGCGAACCATGGTATCTATAACAAAAAGTCTTCTACTTTTTCTACTTTTTGTAGATCTTTCGATCTGTTTAATTCTGAAGCTGCCTCTGGTTAATTTCTTGGGAGGTAGATTGCCAACTATCCCTCCATCTTTTAGGTGGTCTTCCGGGGGGTCTTGAACCGGGCGGATTGTTTTCTAGGGCAATTTTTGGGAGTCTATTCTCATCCATTCGTCTTACATGGTTGTACCACATCCTCTTGCGCTGCCTTTCCCATCTTACAATATCTTGAATTTTGCACTGCTCTCTAATGTTTGTATTTCTCACTCTGTCTCTTCTTGTTTTCCCCATTATTGTTCTTAGGGTTTTCATTTCGGCAACCCTTAGCATCTGTTTCGTTTTGTTGGTATCTTCGCGCACTTCTATGCCATATGTCATGATCGGTCGTATGCAAGTCTTATAGATTCTAATTTTACTATCTGTGCGCATATACGGATTTGACCAGACTATCTCCCGCAGATATTCTGACAGTGCAGATGCTTTGTTGATCTGACTCCTCAGGTCCTTTACTGGGTCGTGGGTGCTTGATATATCTATGCCCAGATATCTGAATTGCATCACCTGTTCTATGGAGTTGTCCTCAACCACTAACTTACATCTGAGCGGATCTTTTGCTATTGTCATACATTTAGTTTTGTTGGTAGAGATGTTCATACTTAGTAGTCGGCTTGTTTGAAAGAACTGAAAGAGCTGCCTTTGGAGATCATCTTCTGATTCGGCAATAATTGCTGCATCGTCTGCGTAACACACCATACCAATTCTTTTGTTGCCCATTCTATATCCGAGATTAAGAGATGTTACTTTGTTGATAATTTTGCCCATGAGAAGATTAAACAAGAAGGGGCTTAAACTGTCGCCTTGTCTAATTCCTCCCGGTGTTGGAATATTTTTAGTGAATTCGTCTCCTGCTCTAACTTTGGTTACGTTGTTGTTATTTAGGTTATGGAGTATCTTTGTTATACTGGTCGGTGTTTCATTTTCTATTAATATATTTAGAATGTCTCCCAGGCGAACTCTGTCAAATGCCGAACATGAGCATATACGCTGCATGCATAGCTTTTTCTTTTATTTGTTTAATTATAAATACTGCGTCTGTTATAGACCGCCCTTTTGTAAAACCTTGTTGTTCTTCAGCATTAGTGATTTGCTTTTCCAATTTGTCCTTGAGAATACCCGTGAAAAGTTTCATTGTTGTATTTAAGAGGGTTATTCCTCTATAGTTTTGTGGGCAGGTTTTTTGTCCTTTTTTAAATATGGGGATTGTGATACTATTATGCCATTCCTCTGGTGTTTCTGTTTTGTTTAATATTTTGTTAAATAGTTGTGCCAGTTTACTTGCAAGTTCCGGGCCTCCATATTTAAAAGTTCATTGGGTATACCATCCGTTCCCGGGATTTTCTGTTTTTTAGCTTTTTGAACTTTGCTTCTACTTCTTCGTCATTGATTGTAGCACTCCATCTGTTTCGCCTCGTTTATATTCAGCGTTTCTTCAGCATCATATAGCTCTTTAAAATGCTGTTGCCATGCCTCTATAGGTACTCCTTTGGTCTGCACGAACTCGTTAACTGGTTTTTTCCTGTTGCGGGGCATTTTCCATACTTTCTTTTGGGCACCATATAGGTCGTAGTCCATGTCGCAAGTGAATTTGGCCCAATGTTCTCTTTTGATTGATTTGAGATGATATAACAAAAAGTAAACCTTGCAAAACTTGCCCTACCACTGTTTAAATTTTAAATTCAAGAAGTTATATAAACAGGGTAACTGCGATGTACTAATGACACATTTGCCCCAATCTGTTATAATACATTTACCCCAACTACAAAATTCCAAGGGGCAAATGTGTTATAACAAAAATTTGAAATTATTCCAATTAAAATTATAATAATAGTCTTACTTACCGAAAAAATAATACAATACTTTACGAACGGGGTAAATGTATAATAAATTCTGTGTTGAATTCGATTTACGTAGTTTCTAGTGGTGGCTTACTAGACTAACATATTTTAGGTTCCGTCTAATAGGTGGCATACTCGTAATTATTTAAATAGCCATTTTTAAATGCACTATTACAATTGCCCCATTATCACATATGACAGAAAACGTAAAAGTTAAAATTTTGACAAAGGCTCTTGACCAAGGATTTTATCTCTAGATCTGATCTTGATCCTTTTTTTCAATATTGCCTTCCAAGTTTACAATTTTTCGAATGATCCTAATGACCAATATATACCTGCTTTTTGTACCTAACCTTTTTTTACCAAAGTTAATCGGTGTTGAGCACAAAAAAAATTGAACCCTTTTTTTAAATTACCTTTATTTTCGTTTTAGTCAAAGAAGTTATTTGCAGACCTCTGTTTAATATCTCCAGTGGTAGAAAAACCCAACCCAACAGCATTTTTGACAGAAAAACCTATTGACATAATCCACTCAGGGAAATACAATAATGTTCCTTTGATAATTGGTTACAACGACGGTGAAGGTCTTTTTGCGGACATCCTGGCAAAACTTAAAATGTGTGATGCGAGAGTGATGGCCGATATACCCCTCGAGCAGATGCTGCCGTACCAGACCAATTTTACAGACACACAGCAAGTCAAGCGGTTAATTGACAAGTTAAGAAATTTTTATCGTCCAGAAACTGACCCTATTGGACGAATTAATGTAAGTATTTTGACTTATATTACTTTTATTTAATTTTTGACTTATTTATTTTATTAATTTTATTTACTTTATTTATATATTCATTTTTCTTCCTGTTACCAAGAAAGAAAAATGAATAATGTCAATTGAAATTATTTATGTTAGTTTTATCACAATTGTCGCTATATTTCTTTACATTTAATAAAATTAGCTGACACAGTCTTTATTTTATTATTTTAGCTCATAACGGATGCCTACTTTGCAGTTGGAGTAAAAATTTCTGCAAAAAATCATGCACAGGTGTCAAAATATCCTGTATATTTTTATAGATTTACTTTAAATGAAGGTCTTAACTTAATGAAGAAAATGATAAATGATAAACGTCCAGGTAATGTGATTTTATAATTCAATACAACTTTCCAGTAGCAATCTGATTCTCTAAGCGTGAACATGTACCGTCATTCAAAGCGCTAAAGAATTTCCTTATCGTAAAACTACCTAATTAACTAGTAATTATCTTATCAGCATCAAAAAATTCTCAAAAAAAGTGAAAAGTAACAAAAACTAAGTATTTAATGAAAAAAAAAAATCAAAAGAAATATGTTCCTTTCGAGGAACTTATTAGCATTTGATAATAATGGCCAACCAGTTTATCAACAAATAAATACTATACAGGATGTCCCAACAATAAATAACCAGAACCAGTCAAACCAAACAGCAGTAAAACCGCAAGTACCATTTTTGTATTTTAATCAAACACCATCTAACCAGATAACAAATCAAATGTCATGCCTAAACCAAATACTTATTCCAACCCTAATAGCTATACCAAACCAAGTACAATTTCCTTATCAATCAATTGCACAAAATATTCAAAACACTCAAAACCCTATTCAGTCCCAATACACAACAGTATCCACAAACCCTCAATGCTCACTCTCATCACAAAACACCAATAACTACACGGATAGCGACAGTGACATAGAACTTAACGAAACAGAAAACAAAAATAAACATCATTAGCAAGAAGTTGGCAATAAGAGAAAAAGGGTGAAAAGACAAACAACTTCAGAAATTCCCAACCAAATCCAAACACAAAACAGATTTGATTCCCTCTCAAAAGAATATCTAGATGAACAGACAATTTATCAAATACACAAAATACAAATATAACCAAAAAAGATCCCTCGCCGCCACCAATCTATATTTATGGAGTTATGGAGCTATATTTATAGTGCTATGATAGCAAACCTTTCAGCTGCAACTGCGGCAGAAACTTATCACACCAAAACCATTTTAAATAATACAGTAAAAATTGACCCTACAAACTCAGACACCTACAGGACACTTATACAGCACCTTAGAAAAGAAAACATTGTACATCACACTTACCAACCAAAAGAAGAGAGGGCCTATAGAGTTAAATAATAAGGGTTCTAAAGTTCGCAACATAATCAATGTTAGACATAGTGTTACCAAAGAACTATTGCCCTTATTCTTTGTCGATATAGAGCCAAATGAAAACAACAAAAACATTATTTAACCTGCAAGTCCTACGAAACTGCATAATAACAGTAGAACCATCTAGAATAAGAAATACAATAGTTCAATGCACAAGGTGTCAAAAATATGGGCACTCAAAAAGTTACTGCCTGAGGCCATTCGCCTGTATTAAATGCGATGGATCACATGACACAAAAATCTGCAAAAAAACACGCAACACACACCAGCAACATGTGCCTTATGTAATGGCAATCATCCAGCAAACTATAAAGGATGTGCTATATATAAAGACCTAGTAAATTCGAAAAACAAAAATATAACAAGCAGTATTCCTATATCTAGAGTTGCAAGCCTAAATATTAATAATACTAATGCTCACCACATACACCAATCACATGTAACATATGCTGAAGTTGCAGCAACTAATACTTCTTCACAAGATAACAACAATAATTCAGACATTTCAAATAAACTTGAAACATTCCTCAACGAATTTAAAAATATGTTTGCACAATTGATAAACCAAAACAGCATGATACTAAGCATGCTAACAGTGATAAATAGAACGTCGTAATGGCTAACTCACTTAGAATAGCAGAGTGGAACCCAAATGGTCTAGCAAACCATGTGCAAGAAATTATTCTATTTCTAAAATTAAACAAAATAGACATCCTCCTTATATCTGAGAGTCACACAACTGAGAGGTCTTTTATAAAAATTCCACACTACTCTGTCTACTACGCAAACCATCCAGACGGAACAGCCCATGCTGGTTCAAGTGTAATAATTCGTACAGGTATAAAACACTACGAACTTGCTCCATATATCACCAACAAAATTCAGAGTACTATCATAAAAGTACATGCGCTCACCTTCCCATTAATAATAGCTTCTATCTACAGCCTACCACGCCATACTATCAATCTGGAGAAATAGAGAGAGTTTTTTGAACAACTTAGCTCACATTTTCTAGTGGCAGGGGACTGGAATACAAAACATACAACCTGGGGAGTAAGACTGATATCTTCAAAAGGCAGAAATCTATTAAAGATCATACAAGATAATAACCTGAAATACCTAACAACTGGTACCCCTACATACTGGCCCACTGATAACAACAAAATTCCTGATCTGTTAGACTTTGCTATAACTAAGGGAACACCTGAAATACACAGCGACATCACCCCCAGTTTTGATCTACATTCTGACCACAGTCCCATCTTGATTACCTTAAGTACCAATATAATTTGGAAAACTCTTGCACCAAGGCTATGTTCCAGTAACACGAATTGGGTTCAATTCAAAGAAGAAATCAATGAAAAAATATCTCTTGACATTCGACTCAAACCCAAAAACGATATTAAAGAAGCTGTAAAATATCTAACGGAACAAATACAACAGGCCGCTTGACTACTCCTGTCAAGGAAAAAACCACTGATGAAAGGTATAGTATACCCCTCGACATTACAACACTAGTAGAAGAGAGAAGAAGAACCCGTCGCAAATGGCAAAGAACAAGAAACGCGATAGATAAAACAAATTTAAACAAGCTCACACACAAACTTCACTCCGCTATCCAAACAGCCAAAAACGAATCCTTTGAAAGATATGTTACAAACCTTTCTCTTGACGACAACTCTCTTTGGAAAGCCACAAAGGAACTCAAAAAGCCGGTAGTAATGAAATCACCAATTAGGAAAATGATGGAACCTGGGCTCGATCAGATATAGAAAAATCCAACAGATTTGCAGAACATCTATCAACTGTCTTCTCCACCCCACAGGCCAACGATATTAACGACGAGAAAATTAGAGACTTCCTTAATGCACCCTGTCAATTATCATTACCACTAAAATACTTTTCACCAAACGAAGTCCGTAACCAAATTAACGTGCTTAACTCTCATAAAGCTCGAGGATTTGACCTTATAACTGGCGAAATCTTAAAAAACACCAAAGAAAAGGTGTCGTCTTAATAACCATTATTTTTAATAGCCTTCTAAGGCTACGCTTTTTTCCAGTGCAATGGAAGTATGCACAAATTATAACAATACCTAAACCTGGTAAACCTCTAACTGAAGCCAGTTCGTACAGACAAATAAGTCTCCTTCCGATTTTATCAAAAGTCTTCGAAAGGTTAATCCTTAACAGGATAGAAACAAGAATATCTATAGAAAACCTTATCCCAGATCATCAGTTTGGTTATTTTTTGCCCAAATCACTCAACCATACAACAGTGCCATAGATTAGTCAACAAAACAAAAGAGAGCCTAGAAGAAAAACAAATCTGTCTATCAGCATTCCTCGATATACAGCAAGCGATTGATAGAGAGTGGCACGAGGGTCTTCTCTTTAAAATAAAAACTCAGCTAACTGACCAAATCTACCTCCTCCTTAAATCATACTTGTCCGACAGATACTTTCAAGTTAAATACGAAGATGCTCTATCCAACTACCTCCAAATAAAATCTGGAGTACCTCAAGGCAGTGTACTTGGCCCATTCCTTTACCAAATATTCACTGCTGATATTCCTATTAGCGAAAATACACTAATGGCAACATTTGCGGATGACACTGGTATACTAGCATCAGATATCAATTAAATATTAGCATTTAACAAATTGCAAAATCATCTCAATGAACTAGAAGACTTGCTTGAATGCTGAAAAAAAAAACGTGAACACAAACAAGTCTAGTCAAGTAAATTTCACAAATCGAAGAATTAGATGTCTACAACTACACCTAAATAATTTACCTATACCAATAAAAACAGAAGTAAAGTACCTGGGCCTTCATGACGAAAAACTTACTTGGAAATCACAAGACTTTGTGGACAACACCTCGACCTAAAAGTTAAAAATATGAGCTGACTAATCAACAGAAGATCGCAAGTTTCATTAGATAACAAACTAACCAACTATTAAACAATACTCAAACCAGTGTGGACATACGGAATTGAACTGTGGGGCTGTAGCAAACCATTCAACACCAAAATACTCAGTATTTCCAGTAAAAAACTATTCGTATGTTAGCTAAAGCCCCATGGTATGTGTCAAACCAAACCCTGCATGCAGAACTCAACATCACCTTCATCAATGATGTGATTGCTGACCAATCCAGAAGATACATGAATCGCACCGCAGACCATCCAAACCATCTCATAGACGAATTATTTAACCCCTCACTTATTGACAGACGTCTAAAAAGTCTTTATCCAGAAGACCTAGCTGCTAGGTAAATTCCAGAGAGTCGTCAATGGACGACACCTGCTACAAGCCAAGAACATACATCATATTTACTTATTACTGTACTGAAGTAGATTGTAAATTAGCAATAAATAAATAAATAAATAAAAATACAACTTTTCGAGATATAAACGTACTTTAAACTTATATCTACTTTACTTTTTATGGAGCCCAGGTCAAGAGAAAGTAGTATATTGTTGCTTTTTATATGGGTACTAGTGATTTTGTCCGTCACCATTCGACGTGGGATCCAATCAATTGCTATCTACGTCATTCCACTCAACTTTTTCGGTCTTCCTCCTATTTAAGGCTAAGACGTGAACAAAATGATATTTTTGGCTGTTGCACAACTTTCATACCAAATAAGTAACTTTTGGAGAAGCGCTGAACTTTTGCATAAAGCCGTCTTATGAAATAGATCTACGTACAAAAACCAGCGGAATTCTGGTTTGGCAATTCATTTGTTTGGTAAGCTCGAGTTTTGTATTATATTTTTTACCGATTATCAAATTCCCAGCCAATGTTTTGTATGTACAGCGTTAACAGGCCTTTTAGGTCCATTGCTGGATGGATAATTTCCATCGTTTTCTATTCTTAGTTAACAGTTTCCAATCTCTGATTCCCATCTCTCTGACATCTTC